GGTTGCTTGCCTGCAGGTCGTCTGCCGGTGCCCACTGTCCGTCGATGCCGCCCTCATCCGCAATTCGCTGGAGCAGCTGCCGGGCCCCTATGAGGTGTGGGTTGTAGGTGATGCGCACGTGGCTGCTCCGCCGCGCACGGACACACCCCAACACGCCAGGCAGCTGATTCACACACACACACGGATATGAAGGGCAGCATTGCGTGGAAGCGCGTGTGTGTGTGTGTACCTGTTTGATGTATGCGATGGCCTTGTCGGCTGTGGGCTTGTGGTGGATGTCGTCCACACGAACCGCCAACACCGCCGTGGCCGACTGAACAAACAGACCAGACGCACCAAGGGCATCAATCTCAGAGGCAGGTGGTGGTCCGTGTGGCTCGCATCGCCCTCTCTATCTCCCCCCCTGACGGACCTGCACGCTTTCGTCAATATTCCGCTCGCTCATGACCTCCGCGTCGAAGCCCACGTCCTCAATCTCCTCACATAGGCTCTGAGGGGGGGACGCAGCCACCGATTGATGGTACAGGACATGATGATGATTCTGGCGTCTATGTACCTGCGCGTTGATGAGTGAAGGGTCGAAGGTGACCCTGCCCCTCTCGAGCACCAGGTTGATGGCCACACTCGCCACGCCAGACACGCGACGCAGGTGACCCTCTATCGTCTTGACACACGACGCGCAGGTCATCCCTGCCCATCCCAGGCACACACAGCCACACACATGGGGGCCCCTCTCTCTCTTTCTGTGTGTGTGTGTATGTGTCTGCTTTTCGCGAACGCACCGGTGATCTTGAGCTCTGCTTCTCTCGTGGCAGGTTTGTGGTCGTGCTTGGCGCCGGTGCCCCCACCACTGCCAGCCATCGGACTGGCTGGCTTAGACACAGACGCCTGACACACGACAAGACAACACACAGAGTGCCGCGACCGACGGCTCGATCGACGTATCAGTATCAGCAAACAAATCATCCACCACCTGTGTGGCGGTGGGTGATGCAGATGGCGGTGTCTGTTTGACACACGCCAGGAGCTCAGCGTCGAAGCCGACGTCCTCTATCGCCTCACATATGTCCTCGGCCGACGGGCCAGACTAACAGACACATCCATCCATCCACAGGCCACACACACACACACACACACACAAGCAACCACTGCACCACAGTGGAGCTTCACTGGGCCGGCGTCCTCACCGGTGTGTCGACGAATGTGACGACGGCCTTCTGCATGACCAGGTTGACGGCCGCATCGGTGACGCCATCCATGCCCTTCAGACGCCGCTCGACCGTCGACACACACGACGCGCACGTCATACCTACACACACACACACACACACACACACATACACACACACTCACAGTGCAGAGAAGATCAGATCACACTCCGCGGTTTGGCCAATAAGTGTGTTGGGTGTGCCTACCGAGTACTCGTATCTCTGCCTGATAAAGCTTCGACTGCCCCCTGCCAGGCCAACACACAAATCACGGTCACACACAGGCACACAAGCACACAGGCAGACAAACAGACAGACAGCCAACCACACAAACCAACCAGTATCAACAGAGGTTAACAAACACGACACTCCTTGACTGATTTCGGTTTGTGTTTTGTTGCTCACCCGTCGTGCAGGGGCGCAGCCGCATCGCTGGGAGCGGTCTTCATCTCTCCCTAGCCCTAGAGCACCAGCCCAGCACCAGCAGCAGCCTCACCAGAACCAACCCATGCCACCCACCAAAAGAAACGCGGATCACGCAAGGGAAACTGAGGCCTTCACAGCACAGAGGCAGGTGCGCCTCCTGCACCCTCCACAAAGAGCCTCTAAGCAAGCCAAGCTCACTGCGAGCCGAAACTCGGATCGCTCCGCGAAGAATTCGGCTGCGGTGTTCGTTCTTTGTGCCCTTCCGCAGCCTCCCAGAGAGTCAGTTTCGTCTCTGACGGCCAAGTGCGGTTCCAACTTCCAACAGCCGTCAAGGAACCGTTGATGCGAGAGGGGGTTGTGGGCTCTGGGCGGCTGCAGTTGTTACGCCGAGGAGGGGCATGTGCCCACAGGGATGAGTGTGCCCGGGAGGGAGCCATTTGGGAGGTTTTGGAGTAGTGGAGAGAAGCGTCGATGAGTTTGTGTACGGTGCTGTTGGTGGCTGGGGGCATCTACTCGTTCTTCTTTGCGCATGGCATCGTGCAGCAGCAGCTCTACCAGTTCTCGGCGGACACCGGGGATGGGTCGTCGGGCGGTGGCGGTGGCGGAGGCGGTGGGCAGCAGGCCACAGAGCAGTTCACCTTCACGTACAGCCTGCTCTTCCTCTCGTGCATCGCCAATGTCGCCATGGTATGTAATCAAGAGCCCCCATCCCTGGCTCACATTCCTCTGTGTGCTCTTTCTTCTTTGCTCCGCTTGTTCGTTGGTTCAGGCGTCAGCGGTGCTCACTCTGCAGCACAGCGGCGCCCCCCATCGGCTGGTGTCGTCCCTCACAAAGCGGCTGGACCGCCCGGCGCTCACCGAGTTCATCCTCACGGCCCTCACCCTGGTGCTGGCCAAATTCGCCTCGTGGCACTCGCTCACTCTAGTGGACTACCCCACTCAGTCGCTCGCCAAGTGCGCCAAGCCCGTGAGCATCCTGCTGCTGTCACTGTGGATGGGCTCGCGAAGATACAGCCTGGCGGAGGCGGTCATTGTGGTGTGGCTCGTGGGCAGCCTTGGCATGTAAGCAGCCCGATGGGTGGAGGTGGAGAGGGGGAGAAGGGGAGAGGGGGAGAAATGGATGTGTGTGTGTGTGTGTAGCTTCAACTTGAGCAAGGTTCGGAACGATGGCAACGCTGTGAGCACGCTCACAGGCAACGTGCTGCTGCTCATATCACTGGCATGCGATGGGCTCACTGGGTGAGGGAGGGAGTGAGTCAGTCAGATCATCGGACACACACACACACACACACTTTTGTCTGTCTGTCTGTGTGTCTGTCTGTCTGTGTGTCTGTCTCTGTGTCATTCATGTGTCGGCCAATCAGTTCTCGGCAGGACAAGATTGCCACCCGGTGTCACTTCTCGTCGTGGGAGATGATGTGCTGCATCAACTTTTTCTCCCTCATCTTCGCCGGCATCGGCGTGCTCGTCTTCGAGGGCGCCGGCCTCTGGGCCTTCACCATCCGCCACCCCAACGTCTACCACCTGGTGGGGCTCTTCTGCGCCTGTGGGGCCCTCGGCCAGGGCTTCACCTACATCGGCATACGCACTCTCGGCGCCCTCCACACCTCCCTCATAACCACGACGCGAAAGCTGTTCATGGTGCTGGTGTCCGTCATCTGGTTCAACACATCACTGCGGCCCATGCAGTGGGCCGCCGTCGTGTCGGTCTTCGCTGCCGTCTTCGCCAAGACATGGCTGAAGCTGCGGCAACACCCACACCCACACCCACACCCACACCCACAGTCGTCCGCCGTGCTGCCGCTGCCTGCAGTAGCGAAACAAAGGCCTGCAGACACCGCCGACAACATGACAGCCGAGCAGCCGTCGGAGACGACAGGCGAGCTCGAGTACACTGGCGACAGCGCAGCAGCACCGCCCCCCGCCCCCGCTGTGACTCTTGCGGCGTCCTCCTACCGGCTACCGACGGGCTACCATCTGGTGGACGTCCACCACAGCTCACACGGGGGGAAGAGGATTGTCATTGGCAGCAACGACGCTTCCTCCCCCACGAGCAGCACCCGGTGCAGCACAGCGGAGATGGAGGGGGAGGACGGCACGGGCATCTCCACCACCAGCAGTGAGAGCAGCATCACGTCGATGGACTGCACGCTCGTCGGCAGGGGGAGCTCCTCCGACCCCTCCACCACATCGAACGGCTCCCCTTTCCGTGTGCATCAAGTCCCGCCATTCGCCAGCAGTGGGGAGGATGCGGCCCCATCGTCAGCAGCAGCAGCGATGCCCCTCGACGGCCTTGGCAGCCCCCTCCCGTCCACCAACAGGCTGCTCGACCGCCCCCGCCCCCCTCCCCTCAAACCATCATCCCACCACCCCGACTACATGCCTTCGTCACCTTCAGACCACCACCTCTCGCCCCCCGACTCACCCACACCACTGGACGACCCCCATAGCCATCAACAGGCCAATGCGTCGGAAGACGTCACCTACGACAAGCTGCACAAGAGCAGGGCGGACAAGGGTAGGGGGAGGGGGCGGGGAATAGGCATGGGCAGGGGGCTGCTGGCGCAGGTGCTCCCGTGGGTGGGCATGGGCATGGGCATGGGCGTGTCCAGGAACGCGCCTGGGCTGCTGCCGTCCACTAGCAGCGGTGGGAATAATGAGACCAGAGAGGGAGAGGTGGTTCGGGAGAAGAGTGCGCACAGCCGGGCGGTCGGCGGGGAGCGGTCTGCGGTGGGAAGGGGCTTTTCGCCTCCACTGCCGCAGATGACGCCGGCAGGGCTCGTGTGAGTGACGCCACCTAGCTGCAAGGAGACAGACAGAAAGTTGTTTTTGTTTTGACAGTATGTCGGGGGATGGATGCCATTGGATGGATGCCATTGGATGGATGGGTGTGTTAATTCGTTTTTTCGGTATATATGGTGTGTGTTCGCACAAGTGGATTGGACGAGTGTGAGAGCTTTTTGCACTTGTGCTCTGTCTGGCGTGATATGCTGTGCTGTGCTGTGGTGTGGTGCTAGTGGCTTGTCCATAACTGACTGATGACCAGCATGAACCACCACACACCACACACCATCCCTCCCTGATACAGCGACAGTTTTGCAGCCAGCCATCCCACCCCGCCCCACCCCACCCGCCCCATTATATTGCCTATATTGCCCTGTTGCTTGCTTTCTTTCCTTTGGTGCATGGCCTGGCTGGGCCTGGCCGACATTTTGAGGGTCTGCGTGTGTGTTGTGTGTGGTTCTTCTCTCTCTCTCTCTCTCTCTCTTGCGCCTGTGTGTCTTGGGGGCAAGGGAGCAAGACAAGAACAGCAGAGGAATGAATCAATGGTCGACATGAGATAGATGGTGGCACTCACTCCACTCTCTTGGTCCCTTGTCCCCAGTGGTTTGGCACGGCGTAATCAATGTCCTTCTGCTGGCCTCTGACCAGGCTCAGCAAGAGGCCGTTGGGTGCGCCTGGCTGAACCATGCGAACAACGAGACGAGAGAGCGGGGAGGACTCCATATGAAGCCCATACGAAGCCCTGACGCTTACCATTTTTGCTCTTCTGAGCATCCGTGGACGGATGGATGAGGGGATGAGTGGATATTTCAGACAGCCCAGCCCAGTGCAGTCCAGTCGAATCCAGAGAAACGTACGACTGACTGTTTTCCATTCCATTTTTGGGGTCAAGAGAAGCCAGCCCTTAAGGACTGCCGTACTTGCTTTCTGATGCACACTTACACACCAACGCACCGACGCACCGACACACTCACACACACAGATACCGACTGAAGCAACGCTCCTCTACCCTTCACTCACACACAGCTTCTACTTCATTACCGCCTAGTTACTGGTGTATCTAGCTAGCTACCACTCAGACAGACAGACAGACAGACCACTGGCTGTCAGCTGCACATGAGTGCACAGAGAGGGAGGGATGACTATTTGTGCGCCATCCATCCATCCATCCACAACATGCTTCTGTCTGCCTGTATTCTCTGTGTGTGTGTCTGTGGTGTTTGTAAAGGCCTGTGTGTGTGTGTGTGTGTAAAGGGCGAGCCAAGCCGAGCCACTCACCAGCCGACACTGACTACACTGACTGACTCACTGCACTCGCCGACTCACTCAGACAGACTTCTCATGAGACAGAGGAGGAGAGGAAGGACCACACGTCATGTCATGTCATGTAGAGCGAGCAGACGAAGGACTGACCGTCAATTGGCTGTCGGGCGGCCGACACGGCCCGGGGGACTTGCCTGTTCATCTGTGAGTCGATTGCCCATCGGCAGCCAGCCAGCCAGCCAGGTGCAGTGCATGTCAGTCATCCATATGGATGGATAAGTGGCTCGGAAAGCGAGCCCATAGGCTGCATCTAGCTGCCTGCTAGTGCTCATAGGGACGGACGGACAGGGCAACAACACACACACGCACACACAGGACAGGACAGGAGTGGAGGGAAGAGACACCTCTTTCTTATAGTCAGCCTCAGCCAGCCAGCCTGCCAGCTGGGCGGCCTGTGAGCGAGTGCGCCCCCGCCCAGCCATTTGGCTTTCGTATTGGTTGGTTGGTTGTCTGTCCGTCTGTGGTTCGCTGCTGGTGCTGATTTTGTAGTGCCTGCCCCCATGTCGTGTACATGTATGTGTTGACTGACTGACGATGGACCGACTTCAACTTGACTGACGTCGGTGGGTGAATGTTTGTATAGCCGCCGCAAGCCTTGATCTCAGTCATTCGGTGGATGGATGGATGGATTTCTCCCACACAGACGAGCACAGCACGGGCAAGCAATCTTTACAAGTACTCCATCCATCCATCCATGGATCCATCCATCAGGCAATCAGTGAGTGGATGGGATAGACGCATGACGGACGAGACACGCAGCGGTTCGATCATGCCAGGTGTCCACTTACTTGTACACACCTCACACACGCATCAATCGATCAACCAACCAATCCATCAACTTCCTTACGTACCGCTGGCTGGCCATGCCATGGGTGGGCGGCTGTCTCGTCAAAACACATCCATCCATCCGACAGACCAGCCGCACCCAACCGACACCCACCCATCCATCCACTCACAGGCAAGCAACCAGCAGGCAGCCAGGCAGCCAGGTTCATCAAAAACGCGCAAGTGAGTGACTGAGTGAGTGAACGTATTCTTCTTCACAGCAACCAACCAAGCAGCCAACCAACCATCAATCAATCAATGTGTGTGTGTGTGTGTGTCGACTGCACATCTGTGGATGGATGGACTGGCTGCACGCTCTTCTCCTCTCTGCTCTCTTCTTGTTTGTTTACAGGTGGGTGTGGCTGATGAGCGGAGGTGAGCTGAGCTAGGGCTGCTGCAGGTACTGCATGGACGCACACCCACATAATCCACACGACACCACACACATCCATCCATCCATCTGTCGCCCCCACGCACACCCACCGGTCCTTCTCACCGCTGATGCAGCAGCGTGGTGAGCCAGCGGAGCAGACGACGCCGCTGCGGCCGTCGGCACGCCCTGAACAAGAGAGAATAATACACACGCATCACGCCAATAATATGGCCAGTCCGTCCGAGAAGCGCTTTAAAGTGACTAGAGTCCACCGACGCACATCCACGCAGCCCATCGACATAGCGACCATCCTGTGTGTGTCTGTGGGTGTGTATGTGTGTGGTTACCCTGGCATGCAGGGAGGCGTGCAGCGCCGCGGCGCACTCTCTGGCCCTCGAGTACTCGGTGGCCTGCTGCTGAGCCGCCGCCGCCGCCTTGCGGCCCCGCTTACCCTTAGTCCCCTGCCCCCCCTCGTCAGGCTGCACATACCTCACTAGACTCTGGACATACAGACAGACAGACACACACGGGCAGGCAGACAGGATGATGGATCCGGTCCTCGGGCCATTCATTCACGCGACGCTCCTGGATCGTGCGAGGCCGAGTGGCGGCCATCGCATTCGGCATTGTACCTGGCGGAACTCGTCGTCCTCGGAGAACGGCACCGCGATCCACTTGACACGGGAGAAATGGCCCCCGATCACTGACACCTGCACACAGTGACACAGACAGACAGACATACAGGAGTGTTTATGTTGGGCATCGTGTGTGTTGTGTTATCGTGCGTGCGTGAGTGCGTACCTTTCGCCACTTTCGCGGCTTGCCCGCGATGAGCGTGACGTCACCAAACTTCAACATCTTGTCGCCAGCCAGGCGACGCGCAGCAACACCACTACTCCCCTGCCCGTCCCCCTGCCCTCCCACCCCTCCCTGCTCCTGAATGGCCGTCGTCGCGCCATCGGTCTCCTTCAACGCACCAACACCAACACCACCTAGGCCAGACGTCCCGCTGAGGCTGCTCGACGGCGATGGAACGGCAGTCTTGACATCGGCCGACTTATCCACCACATGAGAGAACGAGTGGCTCCGGTGGAGCGACAGCAACTTGCCCAGCGACTCCTGCTCGCCGCTCTGCCCTTCCTCAGCACCGACAGCCTCCTCGAGAGGTCGTTTGCGTGTCTCAGCGCGGTTGGCCGTCCCGGAAGGCACGCCCGGCTCCTCCTTGACCACGTAGGCACCGTCTGTCTTGATGGGGTGGGGAGAGGGGGCTCCGGGAGCCGAGGGAACTGTCCGGTAGGAGAGGAGGGGCGGAGGTTGGTAGGGGGGCTGGCGGAGGTGCGGAGAGGGCATAGTGAAAGGAGGAGGACCACCGAGAGCTTCTGTTGCGAGCATATCGGATGCGATTTCGCTGCGACACTTCAGACTTCAAAGTCCATTTTACGGCGGAACTGCTCTTAAGACAGGCGACCCTTTGACCATCGCGCGCCTTTTTGTCTCTCCGGCAACAAACACACATCCTGATTGTTGAAGAGCTGTACTACAGCAGGATCTCGAAAAAACTGAAGAAACTGCGCGACTCTGACTCCAGTTCTACTCAAGAAAGGCGACATGCAGATCTCGCAGCGGTCTGCACCACGACGGCGGCAATGTGCACATGAGTGCACCTCGAACGAGTCGACGCGCCATGATGCTGCCCGCAAAAGGCATACCAGAAGACGGCACCCTCTCGCAGCTTCTCTGCTGGCGGCCGTCGTTCTCTATCTTTGCATCTCAGCGTGGCCAGCCGATGCATCCCCCTCCCTCCCCTCCTTCGTCCCGCCAGCTCCCCTCAGACACATCCACACGGCCCACAGGGCACCGACAAGGCGGCACAGCACCCTCGCTATGCGAGTGCCTACCGATACCGATGCCGGGCTGTCTGTGGAGCAGCAGTCGTTGCTTAAGGACTGTCAGGAAGGCATCACCAAGGGCGACTTGAGGGACGTGTGCAGTCGGCTGGAGTCATCGGGCGGGCTGGCAGGGCCTGGCGGTGATGTGGTTGCGAAGCGGCTGCTCAACTCGCTGTCGGTCTACAATGACAGGGGGATCCAGGCGCTGGAGTCGGCGCAGTCGGACATCTCTCATTTGTTTCGGATACTGAGCGAGGCGGGGGCCCTCAAGTGAGCCAGAGAGATGCATCAAGAGGCGAGTGGACCGGAACCACCATGTGTCTGTGTGTTTGTCAGGGGGTATGGCTTGTGCGGGACGTCTGGGTGCTGGCCGGTGGCTGGCCAGGCGGAGACCAACGTGGAGCTGCAGAATGCCAACATCGAGAAGTACACCAACTTCACCATCGACAAGCTCACACCTAAGGGCTCGGGGGTCTTCTGGTCCGTCGCGTAAGTCATGACCGAATCAGCAGCCACAAGCACAGCACTACGGGTCTCACTTCGCTGGATGGTGTGTGTCTGCGTGTGTGTCTCAGCGGTGTGGCGTTCGCCCTGGCGCAGATCGCCCTGCTGCCCCCTGAGACGCTTAACATTCTCGTGCCTCTAGAGGTGAGAAAACAGCCCATGACACACACACCATAGCCGCCCATCCATCGATGTGTGTCACCCACCATCAGTGTGGTGTGGTGTTGGTGGATTCCCTCTTCTTCCGGTCCGTCCTGTCGGAGAGCGTCGCGCGGGTGGTCTTTCCCCCCTACCAGGAGAGGATTGTCAAGCATGAGGCGGGCCACTTCCTCATCGGCTACCTGCTGGGGGCCCCAATCCAGCGGTGCATCGTGACGGTGCCGCAGCTCTTCAAAGAGAAGGCACTCGTCGCCGGACAGGGAGGTCAGACAGACAACCGCACACAGACGGTGGGCACGATGTATTTGTATCTCCCTCTCTCTCTCTGTGTGTGTGTAGGTACGATCTTTTTCGTGCCTGAGATCAAGGAGGAGGTGATGCGCGGGCAGCTGAGGCGTGAGACCATCGACAGGCTGTCCATCATCACCATGGCCGGCATCGCCGCAGAGGCACTGCAGTTCGGCAACGCAGAGGGCGGCAGGAGCGACGAGGCCGCACTGGTGAGATCATGACATGGGCGCCGTCAGTGGAGAGAGAGGAGGCATCACACCCACCTGAGTGCTCATCTGTATGTGTGTGTCTTGTCACTTGCTGCAGCGCTTGTTCCTTGGTCGGGACATCTTTCCGCCCTGGTCGCTGCCACGCGTCACTCTGCAGGCCCGATGGGCCGTCACGCAGGCCGTGCTGCTGCTCAAGGTGGGTGGCAGGGTCGGTGACACCACACCACAGAGGGCTGCTCAGTGCATGACGTGTGTGTGGTTTGGTTCTGTTTGTGTGGACAGGAGTATTCGCAGGCCTATGACAACCTGGTCGAGGCACTGCGGCAGGGGAAGCCTGTGGGCGACTGTGTCGAGGCAATCGGTGAGAGAGAAAGAGAGAGAGAGAAATGAAATTCGCCGCACCTGTGAACACACTGTGCGGCTGTCTGTGTGTGTGGGTTCGGTGTCTGTGCAGAGAGGGGGCTGCCCGATGGTGCTAGGGATGCCATCCAAAGGCGGCAAGACATGCGCCAAATGACGGCACCGTAAGACCATCCTCACACACCCCAAACACACCACTGTCCGTCTCTCTGCTTCTTCAGGTCATTGCCGGTGGGTGTGGGTGGGGCGCCGCCACGGTCGGGGTCGTTCATTCGCGAGCTGCTCAAGATGCCCAAACAGAATGGGGACGGCGGCGAGGGCTGAGGGGCCACTGACTGACTGACCGATGTGATGTGGGTAGGTGGCTGGGGGGGTACACCGAAGGTTTTGATGGGGGGACTGATTTGTGAAGCTGCCATGGAGTGATGAGGGTCGAGTGAATGAGCTGAATGAGCGAGTTTGTTCGCTGTGCCACTGTGTGACGATGCGCTGCATTTATTGACAGCCAGGCGACCAGACCTCATGACTGTCATGTGGTGTGTAAATACGCTGTCCTGTCGATTCGATGAATCTCATCTTATACCAAATCATACGAAACAGTTCGACAGCATCGGTCGGTCCAACACGGTCAAAACACACATAAACGGCGTGCCTTGCCTATCTACCACTTCAAATTGTTCTGTAGAGAGGGGCCCTCTGGCCACGCAGTCTGCTGTGTCATGGGAGGTGTCGCATACATGACAAAGGGATGAGAGTCGATAGGCAGCCAGCAGCTACGGACAGCACACCAAACACCCTGCCAAAACCACACAGAGAGGACACACACACACGGCAAGAGCCCATGACATCACAGAAGAAATATCTGCCGCACTGTCTGTCGTATGTGCATACCTGTGGTGCCCCGGTATTGACTGATCGGTTTGTGGATCAGTCGCCATTCTCCTCCTCGGCTGATGCATTGTCGCCTGCCATCCAAACACACACACCCACACACAAATGTATGCGACGCAGTGGTGCTGTGTGCCTTTTGCTCCTGATACCTCTACTGCCCCCTTCGCTGTCGTCATCTATCTCGTCACTCTCATCGCCACCATCTCCGTCTGCCACACACATAAAGAAGGCACGTCGTCCATCCGTCCACCAATGTGCGTGTATGTCCGTACCATCGTCGCTGTTGTCATCTTGTTGCTGCTGCTGCTGTTGTACTTGTCCGTCGAAGACGTATGGCGCCACTCGCCCCAGCGCCACACGGGCCAGCTGAGTCGTCACCGGATAGCGGTCCTTGAAGGCACCACCAGCACCAGCACCAGCCGCAGGCGCCTCGGTCGTGTGGACAGTAACCATCACTGCAGACAATTAAAAAGAGAAGACACATGAGATTTGACCAGCAGAGCTGCCTGTCTGTCAGCCTGACCAGTGTCGTTCCTCATATCCGAAATGAAAATCCACGCGACGAAGTTGTGGCTGCTGTCGGTCAGCACCAGCTCTCGCACACGACCGATACAAGCGTCCTGGCTAAATGTGGTAGTGCATCCGGCCACCGCTGTGTGGGGCGACTGGGTGAGGAGGCCATCCAGACGGCCGCCACCAACAGGCCTGAGCCAACCACACACACAATCAAACACGCACCCCTCTCGCCACTGCTGCCATTGACGTGTCGTCACCTGTTGAGTGATATCGATATGCGATTGATCTGGTGAGTCGCGTGGAACTGCTCGACGATCGTGCGCTTGGCGAATGACGACACCGACGCACAGGTGAACAGCCTAAGCCAGCCCCATCTGCCGCCCAAGTAGCAGATGCGGCTCTCCACTGGTGGGTCATGCTCTAGTCGGTGCTGCTGATACAGATGGCCGGCGGGGAGGGGCGGGTTGATCGTCAGCCGGAAGTCGGGCTCGTCCTTGATGCCCCGCACCTCACCATTGGCACGGCGGACTATCTGCAGGCGGCTGCCGTCACTGAAGTGGACGTGGCGGCCGACCACCATCAGCTGCGCCAACACACGGGGAAACGATCTATACGCCTACACCACACCAGACACACAGACAGAGAGGAATGAATGAGGCCTCTCTGGTCCCTCTTGCCCCGCTGTGTGTGTGCCTTACCGTCTTGTTGGCGTGTGTGTTGATGTCATCTGCCGTGAGGGTGACAGGCAGCTCACAGTCGCCGCACTGGCTGGCCCACTCAGTCACCTCGCCGATCTCCACCCATGGCCCCTCCTCCATCACACACACAGCCGCCAGCAGATCACACACGCCGAACTGGTCGTCGTCGAACCGCACCAGCTGCACTTGCTGCCCGTTGACCACCCGCCGCAGCCCCGCCTGTGAGCCAACGGAGTGGCGGAGCCGATCTCTCAGCTGGGCCGCTCCGAAGAGACCTCTGAGCCATGTGCAGGTGGCTTTCAGCTGGAGTATGTCTGTGAGGCTGAGGAGGTAGAACGTGCGACGACCAACGAAGATGTATGTGAAGGGGTGCTGCCGCTGCTCCTGATGCTGCTGATCCTCCATCATCGCGGCCGCCACACGGGATGAAGCACTTCAGGGGAGATCAACTCGCCTCACGGCTTAGCTCGCGAAGTCCCCTCCACTCGGCCCGGACGGCACTCCCGCCTCGTGTGTTGGTGTGCGGCAGCTGAGATCTCCCGCCGGATGTTCCATATGATCTCGAACGTGGCAGGGAAGGCGGGCCGCCCAATCCCCAGTCGATAGACGTCGGCGGCGTCCGCACTCTCTCTTGTCATGCTGCTGTCCTCTCACGGTAGTCTGCTGCTGGTCTCTCACGTGGCCTCCCTCCGGCGCCACACGGCCAGGTACCCGGCAGCGGCGTGCGAAGCCATTCTGCTGGAGAGGCTTTGCAGCAATCTGAGGTGCAGGTCGAAGCGCGAGAACTGCTGTGGCAGCTCCTCACCAATAGTCTGCTACTGCCGCGGCCGTCATTCCCTCTGCTTGAGTGCGTCGATGTGCTGGTGATGCTGGTCAAGACGCCCGGCCAGGACACACACAAGCTGCAGAAGGCGCTGGCAATCATCCGCTCTGCCGCCATTGCTGCTGCAAAAACCAAAACAAGCTGGCAAGAATGGCTGGCTGCATCGAAGCGGTCTGTCTGTCTGTCTTTCTGTCTGTCTGTCTCGAGTGCACCGACGAGTATGCGGCACACAGTGTGTGGCGCAAACAAACTCACTCCATGTGTGTGGGGGGGGCAAACAAACTCATTCCATGTTTGTGTGTGTGTCTGTGTGTGTGTCTGTGTGTGGCTCTCACGGGTGGGCGTATGTACTTTGAGTTCTGCTCTCAGCTTGGTGGCTCAACTGTTCTGTCTGAGGTGAGCCAGTATGACACAGATCGATGCAGGCAGCCAAGTGACGTGTGTGTTCAATCATCGTGTTGGATTATGGATTCCAACATTTCCTGCTGCATGCGCTCTGCTGCAGTGCTCCTGACACCCTCTCAAGAACTCGCACGCCCAGCCGCTTCATGCCCGCCCAGGCAAGCAGGGAAAGGTGTCTGAGTGCTGGTTTATGTGCTGGATCAACTTTCCTTGCCGTGTGTGTGTGTGTGTGTGTGCCGACCACCCGTGCGATGTGGCGCCCGTCGGGTGTCCTTGTCTATGTGTGCTGCGTCGTTCTTATATCTCTGACTGGGGAAGACGCCTTGGCCACCCTGCACTGGCGCGAGTGGGTCATTGGAGGTTCAGACAGCAGTGACTGACTCGCCGTAGCTGCTCAAAGTCAGCTTGAAGACACACACACGCACACACGGAGGTGGAGACAGAGAGAGAGTGAGAGAGAGAGAAAGAGAGAGAGAGAGAGAGCAATGCACGGAGACACCAGTCATTCCCTCCCCCTCGTCAACCCCATTTTCCTTAGCCTCCTGTGCGGGAGGCTCCTGTACGTTGTCGTTGACTGTGAGCAGGTCCAACACTCCCCCGACACAGAGAGAACAGATGGCATGTGTCTCTGTCTGTCCGTGAGTGTGGGGGGGGCGGTGGCTGACTGGCTGACCACAGTGACGATGGAACGAGGTCACAGGTCGTGTGGTCATTCTAGAACGAGCTGCACCTGCGTGTGTCGCGCCAGGTTTCTCTTGTTTTTCTCCGTGATGTTGCCTCTTGACCGTCGGGATTCGCTTTGACACTTGATTGCCCCAGCGGGATCTGACCACACAAACACAGAGACATGACACCATCAAGACACTCACTCTCTGCCTTTTCGATTGGCCGCGTGAGCATGCTGCGTCTGTCGACGCCAATCGCGTCGTGGGCGTCTTCCTTTTGAGCCGCTTCCGAGGACACGAGTACCGTTAGATGAATGCGACACACGCAGCTTTAGCTTGTGCAAGAGTCCATATGACCACACACACACAACACACAACGGTCCGTCCTAGGCTATCTTCTTAGGACCTAATCACAATCTGCCAAGACCGACGCAAAGACACCAATTTGTATGAGCTGAGGAATCCTTTCAACGATTTCTGCCCACCTGCAATTGGCGGCCGGCGTTGTCGTTCCATTCCACTGACCGTCCTGAATCTGCAGACATTCATGACAAAAGTCAGATGGGCGTCTGTGTTCCGCATCGTGCCTCCCTCCCTCCCTCCCTGGCTCTCACCGTGTGGCTCCTGGTCTTCTCGCACGTAGCCATCCAGGCATGCGGGCAGCGGCATGTTTCTCATCTTGTGCTCAACCTGCGGGATCAGGGCCTCAAGATCTGAGACAGACACATATGAGACACACACACACATGTATGCGGCCACGCAGGCAGCCATGCGCTCAGTGGCTGGCTCACCGCCCTCCTGGGTGAGCGCCTGCAGCATGAGGCTGTTCCTCAGCGCCTCTGACACTCCATTGACGCCGACAACACGCACTCGTGGACGGAGATCAACTGAATGAAAGAGAGTGCAGCGCAAAGGGTAGAGAACCCAAAGTCTCGCAGTCCTATCAGTCAGCGAGAATACCTCCGTGTCGCACATGTGGTGTGTCGACAACCGAATTCTCTGAGACAGACAGGGAGGAGACAGCGTCGCTTGGGGTCTGTCTACGTCCATCGCCATGAGGCCTTCGTCATACCCTGAGTCCCCCGGCCTCCGTTCTCTGGTGTCCATCCAGACAGACACGCGATGCACACCCATGCTCACGTCTCTCTCTGATCATCGTTTCGTACCTTTGGCAAATTCCTTCGACTGAGTGTCAGCCGAAGCTGCCACGGGGTATCCTTATCCGATCCATTTAAAGACAGACACATAGGGACACGAAAGAGGGCGTCACTGAGGCGCATACCAGCCATAGGATTCATGGCGCTCTTAGGCGAGCGAGGCAATTGGGGGTCTCCTGCAAAAGGTAGAGAGACAGCCAGCCGATGTGACATCTCTCTAGAAATCCCCGCCCACCGCAGTCTCTCTTCATGTCCGTGAGTCGATAGCCCTCAGCATCTGGCCCACCTACACACCAAACGAGACCATTTGTTGCCGTGTGAGTGAGTGAGTGTGCGCGTGTACCGGAGGACGGCACAGTATCTGCTGTTCCATGCGGTTTGGTGTTCTTGTCCGATGTGAAGCCTGAAAGACAGAAACACCCGCAGCAAGCACGGATGAGCGATGCCTGCCTGCCTTCGAGATCCTACCTGGCAGCTGCTGCGAGTGTGGGACCACTTTCATGCATCTTTCGTGAGTAGCCGTAGCAATCATTCCTGTAGCCAAGACACACAACTGCAGAGACGTGCTGAGTCTCCTGGCGCTTCGAAGCGACTGTGCCTCACCGCCGGCGTCGATACGATAGGATACTGATGAATGGCCTGCGAGAAGCGCAAACACTGCCTGCTCAACCGTCAACTCTCAATGTCCTTGCTGACCGTAGTGCGTCTTGGCGAAGTTGGCGTCAATGGAAGCATTGCAAACAGGAGCTTGACTTATCATGCCTGCGCGCCAGAAAAAGCGTTGTTCTGGTCCGTCTGGTCCACGACAGAGCAGCTTACTGGGCAAAAACTGAGGTGTTTCGAACCGACGGACGTGCTGCTCTGGAGCTGCGAAACCACGGCCTCTGCAGAGCGCGAAGACGCTGCGCTTCCATACGGCCCCTCACAAGCATTGCAAAGCTCACCGGCAGCAGGGGGGCCTTCCAGTGGGTCATACTCGGGGTCGGGGTCCTTGGACCAGAACCCGCAGCTGCAGCACTGGTTCCCCATTTCAGTAGCAGTCGTAAGAGTCATTGAGAGAGTGAAGACGAGCAAGTTAACGTTGCGAAGCGTTAAAGCAGTGCCAAATTCTATCGGAGCAGATGACTTAGCGCGAGGAAACAGCAAAATCGCCGGAAAAGCGTCAGCGATTCACAAGCCCGCAGTCTCGCCCCCAGGGCCCCCACGAGATCGCGCTCAGAAATGGATCCCGCGAGATAGCAGCGGTCTATTTCCTCTTCGTTCGAAGCGATGCCTCGCGGCGAGTCCCGAAGCCTTCATGACAAGCACAGCCTCCGGTGCATCGAGATCGTGGTGCTCCACCACCTGCCAGATCATCAGAAGGCCAGAGAGCTGCTGCAGAGGGCGGCAGATCAGGTGCAGGTGCGCAGATACTCACACAGATCAATCAGGTGGACGGCAGGCGTCCTGTGAAGCCTTCCTCTGTTGATGTCGTGGTGTGGTGTGCACTTGTGTGTGCAGCCGCTGATGATAAAGCGCGGCTGGAGGGTGCCGCTGCTTCGCGAGTCGATATCAGGGGCCTGGGGATACAACTACAACTATGGAGCGACCATCTGGGTAAGCCGTTCAATGAAAGATAACAAACGGCACATCTTTCTTGTGGCCTCTGTTCTCTCTCTCCCTCTCACACAGATCCGTCTTCGTCACAGCGCCACGAGCGGCATCACCCGGCCCTACCGATCGGTGCTGAGGACGCTGCTGCACGAGCTGGCGCACATTCGGTACATGGACCACAGCAAGGCCTTCTATGCGGTGCAGCAGGAGCTGAGCAGGTGATTGACACAAACTGACCAGAGCCCAGCAGGGTGTTTGCTGCGTCAGTCTGTTGCCCATGTATGTCGCCGCCAGTGAGTGTGAGGAACTCATAGCCAGGGGCATCACACGGACCGGCGAGGGGTTCGACGTGCGGGGTGAGTCGAATGACCACACACACCCCCCTTCCCATTCAGGCAGGCACCATGGTGATCGTGGCTGTACGTCTGTGTCTGTCCGTGTGTCGGTCAGGTCGTCACCTCGGCGGTTTGCACAACTCTCACAACATTGTGGTACAGGCCAAGGCCCTCAAGGTGTGTGCGAGGCGTGGGTGAGAGGGCGATGGGTAACGTGGGGGCAGCTTTTGTTCCTCTGTGTGTGTGTGTGTGTGTATGGGTGGCAGGAGGCTAAGGAGCGCCATCGCATTCGGACGTTGATGCCTCGTGGCGGCCATCGTGCGGCTGGGGATACCTCGCTCATGAAGGGTGAGTGGTGGGTGGATGGCCGCCCGAATCATGGCGCCTTCCTCCGTTGTATTGCAGTGTTGGGGCGGGGCGACTTGGCCGCATCAGCTGCCGAGCAGAGAGCACAAGACAGCCTGGTGCGTCGCCGTCCGCCTCACCACATCCACACCATCGACCTCACGTCCGATGATGACGACGATGAGGCAGACAGCCACTGCGGCGTTCCTTCACCCTCCCCCTCCCCCTCCACAGAGACAACCACTCGTCAGGACGCACCGGCCAATGACGGCATTGTGGCGACGACCATTGAGGCGTGTGTGAGGGGTCTGCGTGACATCGATGAGGGGCAGAGAGCCAAGACCATCGCCATCCTCCACACCATCGTCAGCAACCTGCTCACAGGTAGGTTGCTGTGCTCACTCTTGATCACATGTGCAGCTGTGGTGGGCTGTGCGGTCGCTCGTTCAGACTACGAGAGGTGTAGTTCTCTTCGGGCCGACACGACGGCCTTCCAGACGCACATCGCCCCTCACTCGGCGTGCATGGCCATGCTCATGGTGAGCTGATCGAGCAGCAGATAACACAGACACAACACACATGGTTCCTCGTGTGTGTCAGTGTGTGGGCTTTGAGGAGAGTGGCGGCGTGTGGAAGGCGGCCAAACCTGACCCCAGCCGACACCAACACATCCACCGGTAGCAAAGATAACCAGCAAATCGCTCTTGTTGCATCTCTTTCGGCTGCAGGGCTGCGAAGCTGCTGGGAAAGCTCAAGGAGGGTGAGGAGTTCCGCGGGCTGCAGCGGTTCTGGGAGGAGTATACTGGGGGAGTGGTGGTCACCTCGGAGGACATCCAGCCCGACGGACACGTTGTCAGCCAGGTGACCACACCCTCAGAGACACATTCAGAGGCCGATGTGTGTGTGTTGCCCTCGTTATGTCCCTCCCCACCTGCAGCTGCGTGGCGACCTAGTGTTGTGTCGGCGGCTGCTCGAGTGGCACAAACAGCAGACCAGCGGGGCGCACCGGGTAAATCAACCAATTCACCGCACACACACACACAGAGAGAGAGAGAGGGAGAGAGCGCCCTTCGCCCACCACACGTGTGTCACTGTGTTGTGCAGCTGACATATCCCGACTTCCTGCCTGCACCGTTTGCCCAGCTGATGGTGGACTGGCTGAACAACCACCATAGCCACAACCACCACCAGCAGCAACAGCCTCCTGGCCAGTGCAAGCGTGTGCGTCGCGGCAGCCTCGGTGAGTTCGACCATGGCCGGGTGGTCGATGCGGTCACATGCACGCTGGCCACCATTGTCGGATAGCCAGACGGTGGATGGCCAATGGATCGATAGGGAGGAAGGGAGGGAGGTATTAGATTTGTCCGTCGCAGTGGTTGTAGAGTGCGTCCATTCATGACAACATTGTGTTGCCGGCTGCTTGTATTTTTTGAGTATTTCGACAGTTTGTGAGTGACTCCTCTTCCTGTGTGTGTGTGTGTGTGTGTGCTTGTGTCCGTGCGACGTTGATTGGATTACATTCGTCGCCACGCAATGCATTCCTTCACACACGCCACGCACATCAGCTGTCAGTCCATCCACACCCACACAGACAGCAGCCAGGCAGTCAGCCTAATACATATCGACACGCTCAGGCAGATTTATATAGAGAGAGAGACGGAGGCCAGAGAGAGAGTGACCCACCCACAACCATCAGAGGCATGTTCACCCTTCAACACACACACAGACATCAGCGGCTAGTCTGCGCCGGTCCGCGAGCTGCAAACAGACAGGACGGCAGCCATTAGTCCAACTGGTCCACCCTCCTGGCCAAAACAGACACACAGACAGACAGACAGACAGAGGGAGAGAGAGGCATGGCAACAGCCGATGACATTGCAGTGTGTCTGTGGCGCACCAGTGAGTCTTGGGATCGGTCTCTGTGTGCGTGTGTGTTATCAGCGCGATGTGTTGCCGTCGTTGGCGCCGTTCTGCGCAGCTGATGCATCCTCACCTGTCAAATCCACACACACACTCACATATGTGTGTGATGGGGGACGGTGTGAGTCCATCGCATGTGTGTGATGAGGGTAAGGCATCTGTGGTGTGCTGTGTGCCTTCCTTCCCTTGTGTGTACCTCCGCTGTCCTCTCCGTCGCTGTCGTCATCCATATCATCCCAGCCGCCGCCATGGCCGTCGGAATCTACACCACACACAAAGACAGACAGAGAAGAAATGCCATCCATCCACACCATGGCCACCATGTGTGTGTCCCCTCCCCTCTCCGCACCGTCATCATCGTCGTCATTGTCATCGTCCACTAGGCCGTCGAAGACGTATGGCGCCACTCGCCCCAGCGCCACACGGGCCAGCCGAGTGGTCAAGGGGAGGCGGTCCTTGAAGGCGCCACCAGCACCAGCCACAGGCGCCTCGGTCGTGTGGACATCAACCCTCACTGCAGACAATCAGAAAGAAAAGACACATGAGATTTGACTACCTGAGCTGCCTGTCTGTCGGCCTTACCGATGCCGTCCCCCCAATCGAAAATGGCAATCCACGCGACGAAGTTGTGGCTGCTGTTGGTGAGCACCAGCACACGCACCTCACCGATGCCATCTTCACGGCTGAATGTGGTGGTGCAGCCGGCCACTGGTGTGTGGGGCGACTGAGTGAGGAGGCCATCCAGACGGCCGCCACCAACACGCCTCAATCAACCGCACACATACACACACAATCACACACGCCTCGACACTGCTGCCATTGATGTGTTACCCGTTGAGGAGTATCCCTGTGGGATTGGTCTGGTGAGTTATTTCGAAGTGGTTGAGGACCATCTCCTTGGCGAACGACGACACCGACGCAAAGGCGGACGGGACGCCGCCCGACACCCACTGGTTGATGCCCATGTGGTAGAAGATGTCGCTGCGCACTGGTGGGTCATGCTGCTGTCGGTGCTGCTGATACAGATGGCCGGCGGGGAGGGGCGGGTCGACAGTCACCTCGAAGCCGGGCTGGTCCTTGATGGCCCGCACCTCATCATTGGCATGGCGGAAGAGCTGCAGGCAGCTGCCGTCACGGAAGTCGATGTGACGGCCGACCACCATGAGCTGCGCCAACACACGAGCTACCGATCCATACGCCTACACCACAGACAGAGAGAGAAGAATGAATGAGGCCTCTCTGTCATCTCTCCCACCCCTCTGTGTGTGTGTGCCTTACCGTCTTGCTGGCGTGTGTGTTGATGTCATCTGCCGTGAGCTTGACAGGCAGCTGACAGAAGCCGCACTCACTGGCCCACTGCAGCACCTCAGCCACCTCGTCCCACTTCTGCTCTTCCACCAGCCACACGGCCGCCAGCAGCTCACGCGGTTCAGACACCGTCTGGGCGTCGAAGGTCAGCACGGCAGCCAGCCTCGTGCCGTCAGCGAGGCGAATGCGATGGAGGGAGCGGTCGAGGCGATTGCGGAGGATCTCGGCAGGGAAGTCGACCTTGCTGAAGAACAGGGCCGACCTCCTGATGTGGCCGAGGTCCTTGACGTTGTGCAGCTCATCGCGCTCGTCCCGATAGACGACGTCGAGCACCTGGCCGTTGATGGCGGGCGACGCCTCGTCGGTGCTCTTGCTGTTGACCGCACCCATCGCTTGTCGCAAAGGCTACTTTCTACCCCATGGAATCGTCGCCATTGAAGCTCGCAATGAGTCACGATCGAATTCATCGCTCAGAATGCGTGTAAGTGTGCAATATGTGCAATACATCGCATTCCTTCTCACGCACACCTCTGTCAGTCAGTCCATCAACACAGTCAGGCAGACAGGCCAATAATTTATATGGACGACACGCAGAGAGAGGGGAGAGCCAGCCATCGTCATCCCTACGGCCGACATGCCCAGGTCTGCCCACCTGTGAGTGAGTGAAAGCGCGCGGATGGATTAATGGATGGAAACACAAATTTAGAGTGTTCGGTAAGGGGCGTTGATCGGCCTGTCTGTCTGTCTGGGTGAATACATATGCACATGTGTGTACCCATTCAGAAAGAGAGAGAAGATGTCAATCATCAGCCCAACGAACTAAAGCACCGACCGCCCAGCCATCCAGATGGAGAGGAGGGAGGGGCAAAACAGATAGACACGGCAGCGCAGCAAGGGAGTGCTTGAGTGTGTGTGCACACTCATCAATTTTCTGTGTGATGCATTGATCAACACGCGCATCATTCACCAGACGGACGTGAGAGCAAATGCTTTCGCACACACGGACACACAGACACCCCATGTCTGTCTGTCTGTAGGACGTCCGTCCACACAGCCAGGCCAATACATATCGACAGCACACAGGCAGAGAGATAGAGAGAGAGAGAGATGGAGGAGGGCCACAGACACACAACACAGAGGGGAGGGGAGGAGAGAGAGAGAGAGAGAGAGAGAGAGCGTCCCACACACACCTTCTCACCGGAGGCATTGACATATACACAGCCAGACATTGGTGGGTCGACATCAGCAGTGATCTACACCGGTCAGCGAGCTACAGACAGAGAGGACGGCAGACAGCACTCCACCGCCCTCCTGAGGCCACAACACACACACACACACACACACACAGACAGAGAGGGAGGCATGGCACCAGCCGATCAC